AGAAAGAAAGAAAGAAAGAAAGAAAGAAAGAAAGAAAGAAAGAAAGAAAGAAAGAAAGAAAGAAAGAAAGGGAAAGGAAAGAAGGAAGGAAGGAAGAAGGAAAGAAAGAAAGAAAGAAAAAGAAAGAAAGAAAAAGAAAGAAAGAAAGAAAGAAAGCAGGCAGAAGAAAAGAAAGAAGAAAGAAAATATACTTTGGAATGTATTAGTGCATTAGATTCCTTTTGGGAAAACCAAGTCTAACTACACATTATATACATAGATGAACTATAAGAGGTAAAAATTCTGAGAAAACATTTTGTATGCTATTTGCACAGTCCTTGGTACAGTATTATAGTTACACACCTGGTAATATAGAGGTAGGTGAGATGTTTCCAATTTCTGGGTCACAGCAAATTTTCATGGAAAAGACTCAAGTTCAAGAGTCAAAAGGATATTATCCTGAATCCATCATTTACTTTCTGAACAACTGTGAGCATTTTTTAATATTTATTTTTTAGTTGTAGTTGGATATAGTACCTTTATTTTATTTATCTATTTTTATGTAGTGCTGAGGATCAAACCCAGGGCCTTGCAGGTGCTAGGCGAGCACTCTACCACTGAGCCACAACCCCAGGCCTGTGAGCATCTTATTTCACATCTGTTCCTTAATTTCCTTATCTTTGAAAAACAGGGATAATGAAAACACTTCATGTGGTTATTATTGACAGTAAAATGAAATCATGATATAAAGCATTGAGCTTGGAGTCTGTCATACAGCAGATAACCCAAGGATGTTAGCTCCTTTTTTTTCTGCTATTTTTGATTTAGGGGAAAATCCTCATTCTTAAAAAGAAAAAGAAAAGAAAAAGTGGTAACATCTTTTAGCTTTATTGTAATATCATAGTGCCATCTGGTGACCATATAGAATGATTACATGATCTCTATGGGATATTTTATTTCTAATAAAAATATACCATATTAAATTCCTAATGTGTACTGGGCTAGCATAGCAGGGAAATAATAATGACTGTGTTTGAGAAGTGTTTTGCTGTGTACTCCCTTGGAGACCCTTGCCCTAGCTATTCATTCGTTCATGTCAAGAGGCATGCCTCAAGTAAAAATGAGAACAGTATCCTCCATAGCCTAGCATAGACTGGGAAGATGGAAGGTTGACCATGGAAGAAAATGAGTGAAGCCTTCATATCCACTTGGCTATAATGGAGATGCTGAAAGAGAGGAGTTGTAATTTTCTTTAATCTGCAGATCTTTCCTTGGCCAAGAGTCCAATTCCAGAAGAATTCCAAAATAGAGATAACTGCAAGTACCACCCAAGTGTCCCTAAATATAGAATAAAAGAAGCCCCCTCTCAATTCTCCAAACCATACTACCGCTTAGACAAAGAAGCGCATCAGAGTACAGCCAAGATCTCTGAATCTAGCAGTCTTGTACCTGGGCTCAAGTTTCATGAAGTATCCCCACCTCCAAGTCCCAACAGATGGCTACTCTTGCCATCTCTTTGGTGCCATGAACTCAAGTCAAGACTGGTCAGTTTATTGAATATGAACTTTATTGTGATTTGGTTTATGTAAGGCAGTGTGGTGAAGGCACTGCAGAAATTACACAGACTGGAAAACATGGTAGAAAATGAATGAGCTAAAAAAAACTACAAAATACATTTTTAAAATGAATGCGTGCAGGACTAGTCTAAGTACTACAACTACATTTCTTTATTTTTTAATCATTGCAGAAGCATTGAAATATTGAAATATTGTCAGAGGTGGGGTGGGATTAGGGAGGGCTTCATGGAGGAGGTGGCATTTATGCTGGGCTTTGAAGGAGGGGTAGAGTATTGATAGATGAAGATGGAGGGAGTAAGATTTCATAATGACTTAACTCTAGAGAAAATTCTGTAGAAGTACTGAAAAAACGAGAGGCCAAACAAACACCTCCCGGAGAGTGAAGCTTTTCAACTGAAAGAATTGCTTGAGGAGTCTGGCTGGGACTCCAAGTCTCAAGCTCCCAGATGGGGTCTTCAGTACCAATGATATTAGGAGGCACAGGACAA